AAATGGAGATAAGTAATTTACTTAATAATGAGTTCAAAGTAATGGTCATAAAGATGCTCCCCAAACTCAACCTCAAGAGAGGTGGAAAATACTAGTCACAGAGCTGAGGAATACAATAACATAATTGAAAAATACATTAGAGTGGTTCAGTAGTAGACTAGGTAAAGCAAAGGAACTTGAGGGAAACGCAGTGGAACTTACCCAATTAGGACAGAAACCAAAAAAAGAAAAAGTAAAGATAGCTTAAAAGACTTATGGGATGCATCAAGCAGACTGACATTCTCATTATAGGAGTCCCAAGAAGAAAAGATAGAGAAAAGGCTAGAAACTTACTTGATGAAATAATGGCTGAAAACTTCCCTATTTGAGGGAAGGAAATGGACATCCAGACGCAGAAAGCCCAGAGTGTTCCACATGAGATGAGCCCAAAGAGAACCACATCAAGACATGTTATAATTAAAAACACCAAAAGCTAAAAGATAAGGAGAGAATCTTATAAGCAGCAAGAGAAAAACTTCTTATATACAAGTGACACCCCCCCCCCCCCCCCCGCCATGAGACTGTCAGCAGATTTTTCAGCAGAAACTTTGCAGATCAGAAAGCAGTGGCATAATACAGCGGAAGTGTGAAGAAAAAAAAACTTGTAAGAAAGAACTCTACCCAGCAGAGTTATTCAGAATTGAAGAGTTTTACAGATTAACAAGTCTAAATGAGTTCAAGCATTGCTACACTGGCTTTACAAGCAATGTTAAAAGGACTTCTTTAGGCTGAAAAGAAAGGGTGCTAATTAGTACAAGAAAACTTAGGAAAGAAGTTTCACTGAAAAAGCAAATATATAGTCAACCCGGAGAAGGCAGTGGTACCCCACTCCAGTACTCTTGCCTGGAAAATCCCATGGACAGAGGAGCCTGGTAGGCTGCAGTCCATGGGGTCGCTAAGAACCAAACACGACTGAGCAATTTCACTTTCATGCATTGGAGAAGGAAATGGCAACCCACTCCAGTGTTTCTGCCTGGAGAATCCCAGGGACGGGGGAGCCTGGTGGGCTGCCATCTATGGGGTTGCACAGAGTTGGACACAACTGAAGTGACGCAGCAGCAGTGAATCAACCACTTAAAAGGTTGAGGCAAAAGTAGTGAAAATAATTACAACTATAGAATTAATTAAAGAACATATAAGACAAAAAATGTAAAATGTGGCATCAAAAACATAAAACTTCGTGGAGGGAATGAACATGTATAGATTTAGAATGCAGTCAAACTTAAGTTATTGACTGAAAATAGAATATATAAACCACATGGAAAGCACAATCCTATAGCAGATAAGCAGAAGATGAAGAGAAAGAAATCTAAGCATACCACTAAAGAAACTCACATGCAAGTGGAAGAAAACAACAGAAGGAAGAATGGAGACTCAATAGATGCAGAAAAATATTTGACAAAATTCAACATCCATTTATGAGAAGGACTCTTAACAAAGTGGCTATAGAGAGAACTTACCTCAACATAATTAAGACCACAGCCAACATCATACCAAAAAAGGTGAAAGGTTTTCCTCTAAAATAAAAAACACAACAGCAATGCCAACTTTTGCCACTTTTATTCAAGTTAATTTTGGAGATCCTAGCCAGAGAAATCAATCAAGAAAAAGTGTAACAAAAAGTATCCGAATTGTAATGGAAGTAGTAAAACTGTCACTATTTGTAGAAGACATATTACTATATATAGGAAACGCTACAGACTCAAAAAAACTGTTAGAACTAATACACAGATTCAGTTAGGTTACAGGATACAAGATCAAAAATCTGTTGCATTTTTATACACTAACAATCAGAAATTAAGAGAACAATCCCATTTACAATTGCATCAGAAAAAATACAAGTAAATTTAACCAAGGAGGTGAAAGATCTGTACACTAAAAACCATAAGACAAATCATTTTTTAATAACAGTGAGCATACACAAAGAAATGGAAAGGTATTTCATGCTCATATACTAGAAGAGTTTTGTAAAGATGTCTGAATTACCAAAGCAAACTATAGATTCAGTGTAATCCCTATTAACAGTCCAATAGCACTTTTCATAGAAATAGAACAGAGTCCTAAATTTCTTTGGAATCACAAAAGGCATCAAATAGCCAGAGCAGTCTGGAGAAAGAATAATAAAACTGGAGGCATCATACTCCCTGATTTCAAGTTATATTACAAAACATAAAAACAGACACCTAGATCAGTGGAACAAAATAGCCCAGAAATTAACCCACACATATATGGTCAATTAATTTTTGAAAAGAGCCAAGAATATACAATGGGGATAGGACAGCCTCTTCAGTAAAGTGGTGTTGGGAAAACTGGTTAGCCACATGCAAAAGAATGAAACTGGACCAGTATCTTATACCATAAACAAAGCTTAATTCAAAATGGATTAAAGCCATGAATGTAAAATCTAAAACCATAAAGTTACTAGAATAAAACATATGTGGTAATCATTGCTACATCACTCTTCTCAATGATTTTTAAAAAATCAGACTCCAAAACACAAAAGCAGAAATGAACCAGTGGGACTTCTTCAAACTTAAAAGCTTCCGCACAGCAGAGGAAACCAGCAAAAAGGCAGCTTACTGAATGCTTGTTTCCCTGGTGGGTCACTCGGTAAAAGAGTCTGCCTGCAGTGCAAGGGACCTGGGCTTGATCCCTGGGTTGGGAAGATCCTCTGGGGAAGGAAATGGCAATCCACTCCGTATTCTTGCCTGGAGAATCCCATGGACAGAGGAGCCTGGCAGGCTATAGTCCTTGGGGTCACAAAGAGTTGGATACAACTGAGCAACTAACACTTTCACTTACTGAATGATAGACCATATTTCCAAATCATGTCTGATAAGGGGTTAGTGTACAAATATAAAGAACTCATACAGCTCAATAAGAACAACAGAACAAGCAGATTAAAAAATTGGCAAAGGGGACTTCCCTTGTGGTCCAGTGGCCAAGACTGCATGCTCCCAAAGCAGGGGGCCCAGGTTTGATCCCTGGTCAGGGAGCTAGATCTCACATGCCCCAACCAAGACCCAGCACAGCCAAATAAAATAAAAAGTAAATATGTTTTAAATTGGCAAAGGATCTGGACAGTTTTCAAAAAGAATACAAATGGCCCCAAAATGCATGAAAAAGATACTCAGCATCATTAATCATCAGGAAAATGCAAAACACAACCACAATGAGATACCACCTTCCACTTTTTAGAATGAGTACTATCAAAGCTTTTTCTCTATGATCAGAAACGAAACAAGGATGCCCACTATCACAAGAAATAACAAGTGTTGGTGAGGATGTGGAGAAAAGGGAACTCTTGTGCACTGTATATGAGGATGTAAATTGGTGCAGCTCCTATGGAAAACAGTATGGAGGTTCCTCAAAAAATTAAAAATAGAACTACCATATGATCCAGTATCTCCACTTCTGGGTATTTATCCAAAGAAAACAAAAACACTAACTCAAAGAAATATCTGCACCCCCATGTTCACAGCAATATTTACCACAGCCAAGATATGGAAACAGACTAAGTGCCCATTGATGGGTGAGCAGATGAGCAGATGTAGTATATACACACAATGGAATATGACTCAGCTACTTAAAAAAATGAAACCTTACGATTTGTGACAATATGGATGGATACCCTTGAGGGTACTATGCTAAGTGAAATAAGTCAGAGAAAAACAAATACTATATGATCGCTTATGTATGTCAGCTAAAAACTAAAGGAACAAGCTCATAGACAAAACAGATTGGTTGCTCCCAGAGTTGTAGGGTGGGATGGATGAAGGGAGTCAAAGGGTAGAGACTTGAAGTTACAGAGTAAGTCATGAGGATGTAATGTACAGCATGCCAGATTTGTTGCTATTTGAATGTTGCTAAGGCGAAAGTTGTAAATCTTAAAAGTTCTTATCACAAGAAAAAAAAAATTATGTGGTTATGTAAGGTACCAGATGTTAACTAGACTTACTGTGATGATGTATCCAAATACTGAGTGTTCAAATACATTCATAATGTATATAATATATACATTCATAATGTATAATGTATCCAAATATTGAATCATGATGTACACCTGAAACTAATGTCCTGTGTCAGTTACACTTCAGTAAAAAAAAAAAAATTCTTAAAAAAAAAGCCAGATTAGAAAGATGGTAACGATAACCCTATATGCAAAACAGAAAAAGAGACTCCAATGTATAGAACAGACTTGTGGACTCTGGGAGAAGGCGAGGGTGGGATGTTTCAAGAGAACAGCATCGAAACACGTATATTATCTAGGGTGAAACAGATCACCAGCCCAGGTTGGGTGCATGAGACAAGTGCTCGGGCCTGGTGCACTGGGAAGACCCAGAGGGATCGGGTGGAGAGGGAGGTGGGAGGGGGGACCGGGATGGGGAATACATGTAAATCCATGGCTAATTCATTTCAATGTATGACAAAAACCACTGCAATGATGTAAAGTAATTAGCCTCCAACTAATAAAAATAAATGAAAAAAAAAAAAAAGCCAGAATTAAGAATTAGGATCTGTACATAATCTAAGCATTTGGTAGAGTTGCAGGGAAAGCTTCACGTACATGGTTGTGGTCAGGCCAGATGCCTTATGAGGACTTTCCCAACAGCGTGGCACAGTGATTCTAAAATGTATACTAAATAGTCTTCAATTGTGAGGCAATTTTTGTTGGATTATATTTACTATTGAACCTTTTGGGGCAAAATAATTTTTTTTTGACACTGTTAAAGTGTAAATGCTCTAAAATTAGACATCAAAAAGGAATTGGTGAGCCTGTTTCCACTGTGGAGGTCTCTGGCCAGTTGAAGAGTCTCTTCACCTGCCTTTATTCAGTTGCTGTGTAGAAGGGGCATGGTGAACAAGAGCATATTCTTATTTAAATCAGGTTAGATACTTCTCAGAAAGGTGACAGGTGTTTTTTCATTTTCTGTATTAAACAGACTTCTGTGTGTTTGTAGGTGATAATCTCGGCCAGCAGTACCACAGCCCACAAGAAGTCATCGGCAAACGAGGCTCTGATATCATCATTGTGGGCCGGGGCATAATAGCATCAGCTAATCATCTGGAAGCAGCCGAGATGTACAGAAAAGCTGCTTGGGAAGCTTACTTGAGTAGACTTGCTGTTTGAGCCTCTTGGATATGCTTTTGGGATGGCCCTGAAGACAGATACATGGACTCCTGAGATGCTACTGGCTTGAAACAATAAGCAGCCTTTAATCCTGCTTGGATTTTTCCATGGATCCTGTGTGGAACTGGAGTTACCACAGTCTGCAGGAAATATTTAATGACTTATGATCATTGCACTGTCACTATAATCAGTTCAAGATTTCTTTTACTTAGACTGATGTTGGTTAGGCAATCAAACCCTATTCTGTTAGAATGTCACATTTGAGGACTGTGCCCCTTGCCCTCTCCAGATCAGACCTTTTGATTCTTTTAACTGCCGTAAGACAAATTTTAGGTCATGAAGAGCCTAAAACTAGAACAACATTTCTGTGTCCTTTATTCTCTGTCTAATGTGGTACCCTAATAATACTTAAATATTAGCCATTCTGCCTAAAAGTAATAGTCCAGGTGTCTAAATGGTGCTAGCTCCCAGCCCTGCTGCTGCTCACTCACTGGAGAGGACCTGCTGGGGAAGCAGGAGATGAGCCCCTGAAGCCAGTATCTGGCTTTCATTTCAACATGGAGAGAGGGCTTCTCTATTTCTCTATTACAAATGGAGCAGCTGCTCTTTCATTTATTTAAAAAGACAAGTGTCAAGAGGTCTGAGGTTTCACTTGGAAGTTTGTCAGAGGATCCCACATGATTGTCCCAAAGGGCATTGCTAGAGAGGGATGTCAGCCTTCAGATTCAGAAACAGACAGAAAGGAGCCCAGCAACAGAGTTGAAGTTGTAGTGACAACTACCTTGGGATACCATGGTGGTAGGGCTGGGCACGTCCACCTTTCTTCACACATGTGGCAGTTAGGCAGCCCTCTTATTCTGGCCACAACTTCATTTTTTCCTAGAAATTCTCAGTTTCTGGATGATCCCTGTCCTCCAAAGAAATTGGTCTGTTCAGGAAGCATCTTAGAGGGGAGTGAAGGATGTGGGCTCAGATGATCATTTTGAAATGGCCCCATTACACATTTAAGGTTTATCTTAGAGTCTACACTTAATCGCCTCTGCCCTAAAGTCCAGTTCAGCTTTGGGTCCCAGTGCTGCAGCTACAGAGAAGTCCCCTCTGGGAAAGGGAAATGATCACAGAATAAGGTTGGAAGCAAATGGAAGAGGTGTGACCTCAGGGCTATTCTGGAGGAGCTAAAGGTTAGGAATTGTGTTCAAAGTCTTGGTGACCTCAAGGCTGAGAGGCCTTTACAGTAATGTGCTGAGATTCTTGCACTTCAGCATGCATCAGAATCACGTAGAATCTCATTCAGTCAGATGCTGGCCCAGCTCCAGTGTTTCTGACTCTGGATAGTTCTAGGACAGGACATGGAAGTTTGCATTTCTAACAAGATCTCAGGCAATGCTAATGCTGGTGCAGGGACCACACTTAGAGCATCACTGCCCTGGTTTGTCACATTTTTATTCTGCAATAGGATGGTCTTGGGGTCTCCACCTCCTGCTGAGAAACCCACTCCTGCCATAAGCAGTTCTGGTACTAGAGTTCACTCGGGCCCCTTCTCAGGGGTGATGAAGGGAATTCAGGAGCATCAAAGAACCACCTGGGCCCCACCATCAGAGATTGTTTCAGCAGATAGGAGGTGGGGCTTGGAAATCTGCATTTGTAACAGGTACTTCAGGTGATTTTGATGTTTCTCAAGACTAAGCCCAGCACAGACATTCTGGAATCATAAAACTTTGAAGCACAAATTGACTAAGATAAGACAAAGAATTTGGCTGTCCAGGACCTATGAGGGGGCTATTCAGCCTAGAAGTATTTTAGAGGCATTTTTGATAGTTCAGCCCTTTTGTGGTCAAGGAGTATTGAAAACACTTGACAGTGGTGAAGACTGTGGTAACAGTCCTCACAGGGCGCCCAGAACAACATCTAAGAGTAATGGGAGTGGAGGGTATGAGCACTGGCCTTTTCCTACACTCCAGGTGTTTAGTACAGCACCGGGCAGTGGATGTGTAGAGATGCAGGAGCCTTAGAACCCCGGTCCTCTCCTCAGTTTAGAGCTACAGGCATACAGACACTGTTCACAACCAGCTTATGAGCAACACAGGCCTGGGGCTCAGACCCAGCTCCCTCTCACCCACGCTGATGTGGACCGTCATCAGTCTCTGGAAGATGGGCACCAGAGGGTGAGGACAGCAGCCCGAGGACATGCAGCTCCCACTCACCTACTTCTGAACCTAATGCTGCTAGGTCCATGTAGGCAAGGCCCAGAAGCACCAGCACAGTCTGTCAGGATCCTGAGAGGACAGGTATGGGGCATTGTCCCCCCGTGGGGGGAGGCTCAGGACTAGGATGCATGCTTGTGTGTGTGTGTACGTCAGAGCGCCAACTGAATGGCCTTTGTTTGGGAGGAGCTGAGGTTTCTGACAACCCACTCTGGTCACTGCAATGCTGGTCCACAGATGGAGTCTGTGGGCCTCCTACCAACGATAGGTCTACTGCTACATGAGGGTCAAGTGCTGGCGGTGGGGTGGGGGTTGGGGGTGGTGCAAGGGGACAAAAGAAAGTACCTGAGGAAATCCAGCAACCAGGGAAGGAAAGCAAAGAGAACCACCTGTGATAGGTGTAGCTCTAAGAGCACAGGGATTTCACCTGCTCAGTGCAGTAACTGCATCTGGAGCAGGCCCCGCAAGTGCTTCTGAATGAATGTGAGCATTGGGCCTTCTGGGGAAGGGGGGCTGCCACAGAAAGCAGACCCACTGCAGGATAACAGGAACAGGATGACAGTCTGTGTGTGTTGGGGGGCCCTGGGTGGGGGGGGGGGCATGCTGAAATGAAGATTTCTGTTTTGATTTGAATGTGAACATTAGGTGGAAAAATTTCAAGATGGTATGATAATGTTGAGAACTATATCTGTGGGCAGGAAGATCAAGTGGAAGACATACCAAAATTCAAAACAAAGGGACAAAGAAATGGAAATAATGAGGGAGCAGATGAGAGGCTTAGAGAACAGATTCATGAATATAAAGAGGAAAAGACAATGGAAGGACAGAAAATAATTATAGACATAATTGAGGAAATTTTCCACAGTTACAAAAAATACTTGCGTCTGCAGAAGCAAAGGGCCCACTAGTTCCACGCGGGTGTTATGGACAAAGACATACACCTGGGCACATCCTGGCAATAGGACTGAATTTCAAGGATGGAAAACTTTATAAGCATCTAGAGGAATAATCCCTTGCAAAGGGAAGGAATCCAACTGGGATTAGAAAGGCCCATCACAACCAGGAATCCTGATGCCAGCCACATGATCCAGCTGTGGCAGCCTGCTGTGAGCATTCATGGTGCACCTCAGTGCTCTGATTCATGAAAAGGCTCTTTGGGGGAGGCTGGGAGTGCACAGGTTGGTGGGGGTGGGTGAGAAATCCGGCAATATTGGGACCAGTCAGCCTCTGATGCAGTGACTATATATATCCCAGAATCTTAGGAAACTTGAGTTTGAAAGCTCTCTAGAGGTCATCTAATTTGATCACCCCATTTCACAGATAAAGTTGAAGCCCACTGGAAAATGATTGGGTTTCCCTGGTGGCTCAGAAAAAGAATCCGCCTGCAATGCAGGAGACCTGGGTTCAATCCCTGTGTTGGGAAGATCCCATGGAGAAGAAACAGCTACCCACTCCAAGGTTACAGAAGAGCTAGTTACAGGCAGAGTAAGAATTAGAATCCCTGTCCTTACCCTTCAGTTTGGTAATTTTTTCTTACACTTTCTGTAAAGTAGATATATCCAACTTTCCTCCCTTTTCTGTCAACATGCAGATATATACTATATATATAAGATTCTTCCATCATTTAACCTGGGCTTCCCTTGTGGCTCAGCTGGTTAAGAATCCACCTGTAATGTGGGAGACCTGGGTTCAATCCCTGGGTTGGGAAGATCCCCTGGAGAAGGGAAAGTCTACCCACTCCAGTATTCTGGCCTGGATAATTCTATGGACTGTATAGTCCATGGGATCGAAAAGAGTCAATTTATTGAACACAGAGTGAACCCGATATACATCATCCCAGTCATTAAGGAACTTACTAAAGGTTCAAAGGTACTTCCATACCATCCTGAGACACACAGCTAGTCTTTCCTTCCACTGCAGAGGGCTGGGACCTGGGACCCTTTGCTGCAGTGCTACAATATCTGCACCCAGACACAGCTCTCCTCCAGCAACAAAATACAAAGAAACCAAGAAACCGTATGGGGCTGAGCGCCTGTGCAGTTGGAGCAAATTATGGACAAAAGATACAAAGGGACCAAAAAACCCACCTGCCACTTTGGAAGAGCCTGGAGCAAAAAAGCAGGGGGTCAGGAGCTAAAGCAGGGAACTGCACCGCGGCCCCTGCACACAATGCCACCTAAGGGGTGGGCAAACCAGCCCGACCCCTGGACACACGCCTGCCCTCACCCCCCACCCCACCCCACGCCGAAGCAAGCCAGCCAGAGAGCCTGTTGGTTGTTCTCACTTGCCCCTACTGCAGCAGGTACCTCAACAAAGGCTTGCCTGAATTTCTTGTCTGGCCTCTGAATAATTTCTATTGATTCAGGAGGCCAAGAATCCTAGCTGGTAACATATTTTGTGGTGCCCAGCGTGGGGCTTGTCCCCTTCTGGGGAGAGGATCTGGGCATCTCTGGGAACACCAAACGAAGCTTCTCCGTGGGTGACAGTGACCAACCGAACCTCTTCTTTCGGTGTCACCATGTTCGGTAAGTCTGGCCTCCTGCCCTCATCCAGGCAACACTTCCCCCCTCCCCTTTGTCCTTTTCCCCTTTCCCTCTCCTGAACTCTCTCTCTTCTGTGTCTTCTGTCTGTCCTCTCCCCCCTCTGTCCCATGCTTCTGAGACCGTGGACGTCGGCAGCTACAGCATCGCTCCTCCCAACTTGTGAGACCTGCTCTCTCTGCAGTAATGGCTCCCTTGATAGTGACAAGCGGAGGTGGGAGAGGCTGGCCTCACACCATGTAGACCTTGGTCCAGCCGGCTCTCCCTGACCAAAGACTTCTGAGAGTGATAGAGCTTTAAACCTCATACCGCGTCACTACTTGAAGTCCGACTGTCCTAATATTCTCACCTTTATTTTCCTGCCACCAAGAGAAGTCCACTGGGAACGGGCTGAAGCAGCAGATTTCTATATAGTGGTGTACTCGTGGGTGAGAGTCCTATGTATTGGTTTTGGTAAACTGTACAGGAATAATTATGTCTTGGAAACACCCATGTAAAACAGTCCAAATTTTGGTAAATTTAAAAATTAAGTTAAATGACAGGGATTCACTGAATATCCAGATCATTTCAAATAAGATAAAATATTGGAACATTAATTGCTAAGCAGGTCTATTCTAAATTTACCTACTTTGTCTTCCTGTGAGAGAGAAACTAATGCTGGTGCCACCTTGAGATGTATGCTAATATAGAGGACAGTTCATGGTTGCTTTAGGAAAGTAGGATGTGTGTTTTCAGAAAAGAAGGTATGAGGAATGCAAATATATTTTGTTGAAAGGGAAAAGGGTGATTTTGTCCTAAAGCTGGCTATTCTGAATGGGGAAAGAATAAGGGAAAAAGTATGGCTATAGAAAGTTGCGGGTTTGAGGAAGAGGAACATTGAGAAAAGAATTTTGTATGTGGTCAGAATTTTCAAAGGTTGGATCACTGCGGTATTGTAAAGTGATTAGCCTCCAACTAATAAAAATAAATGAAAAATAAATAAATAAATTTAATTAGGTAAATGGATTTTATTATGAGTAGGCTGATGCAAGACTGGATTTGGTTTCTCTCATAAGAGAACAACGTCGTCCTGGAATGCTGCTTTTGATAACATTGTTTGAGTTCCTGTGCCTTTAAGTGATCTATATTTACTTTTGTTTTTTTCCCCCCACCTTAGCTCAATGAATAAGTATTGTTTCACAGAAACCTAATTCCTACCTGACCAGGTGATTTGAAACTTTTAAAAAATTTTGACAGACTTCCCAAATATCAAATTCTAATTAAAGGACTTCCCTGGTGGTCCAGTGGCTAAGATTCTGCACTCCCAATACCGGGACCCAGTTTCAATCTCTGTTCAGGAAACTGGTCAGCCGCAGCTAAAGATCCTGCATGTTGCAACAAAGATTGAAGATCCCGTGTGCTGCAACTAAAGAACCGGCACAGCCAAATAATTACTATTTTAAAAAATAATAAAAAATAAAATCATTGTATGGAAGTTTTTTTTTAAATCTAACTGAAATTCTCTTGATTTCCGGTTAAATTTGGGGTGCTTCAAGTGGCCCCTAGAACATCCCAAAGAGAGATTTTAAACTTAACTGGGTTCATCTGTAAGGACAGGTTTGCTAGGCTCTCAGAGAACCCTGACAAGTTTAGGGATGAACTTGTCAGGCTGGGGTTGGCATTCTCTCTCACCTGGCAGGACATCATGGTTATTCTGGCCCATTGTTGCACCAGGGATGAAAAGGAGAGTATACTCACAAAGGCCAGGGAACAGATGGCTTCCTGGCCACCAATCCACACCACCCAACTCATCAGGCAGGTGGGGATGCAATCTCAGAACATGAGTCACACTGGGACTAGAGGACTGTGTAAGGCCAGGCTAGGGTGAGACATTACTTATCTATCAAAAGGAATGAAAAGGCACATGGCGAAGCCTGTAAACTATGATGAGGTCTGAGAGGTTACCCAGGAAGAAGGTGAAAACCCGGCAGTCTTCCTCAGCTGGGTGAAAGAGGCATTCAGGACATGCACCAATACAGACCCTGAGTCTGCCAAAGGGAGGACACTATTGGCCAGGCATTTTACAACTGAGCTACTCCAGGTATCTGGAGAAAATTACAGAAGCTTGAGGCTGGGCTCAAACCCCATTGTCAGCCTTGGTAGAGGAGGCCTTCAAAGTCTGTAACAACCAAGACTTAATGGACAATAAGGATAAGAGGCTAATGAAACAGTTTCTGGCTGCTCTGATTCACCCACCACCTCAAGAGCACCCTAGGGGGCTGAGAAGGCTGGACAGACCACCAAGGAGCTGCCTGGGCCCAAATCCATTGTGTATCTTTGTCAGAAAGGGGGCCGCTGGAAGGGAGAATGGCCTGAGCGCCCTCCTGCGGGATGTCTGAGGGGCAATCCTGACTGGCCCCAGTTCCTTGTGAATCCCCTGGATGAGAGATTCTTGAACACCAACTGATGGAGCCCAAGTGGTGCCCAGCTCCAGATTCCACTCGATCCATCCTCATTATCCCAGGGGAGCTTCAGGTCACCCTCGATGTGGCAGGCAAAAGAACTGAATTTCCTATAGACACTGACATGCCTGTTCTGTTCTGACTTGACCAGCCAGCCCCCTCTCCATCCATGGACTGTACTGTGGCAGGAGTTGACAGACAGCCGAAAGGAGGGTGATTTACATCTCCTCTTCCTTGCCTGAGGAGTTGGGTCCATTATTATTACTCATGACTTTTTGTATATGCCAGAATGCCCTGTCCCCCTCCTCGGGAGAGATCTGTTAGGAACTAGTATATTCTTAGGGCAGGGTTAAGTCCAAGGAGGTAAAACATCTGACCTGAGAACACATCTATTAGTAACCCCAGATGACTACCTATTGGGCATCAAAATATTCCCCAAGAAATCAGAGAACAAGTAGACCCTGCAGTTTGGAATACTTTGGTGCCAGGAAGGGCA